TGGCGAAATAGCATTTTTAATAAAGCAATTAGTTGTTAGGTAGATAAAGATTAAACAACTTCACAACTACATTTACTAGTCATTGAATGCATTAAAAGTAAGCATCCGACCATTCCCTATTGTGGGGATTGCCACACATGAGGCAGCAGCTCATCAATATCCTTATCTTTATGGGTTGGCAGCCGTCTAAGCACATCAGACAGATAAGCAAACGCATCCAACCCATTTAACTTAGCTGACTGAATTAACGACATAATCACCGCTGCGCGCTGACCACTTCGCAAAGAACCAGCGAACAACCAATTTTTTCGACCTAAAGCCCACGGACGCATCTGATTCTCAGCCCAGTTATTATCAATCGGCAAACTGCCATCATTCAAGTATTGGATAAGCGCTTTCCAACGTTTCAAACAATAATCAATCGCGCGAGCAATCGCTGAATTCTTAGAAGCTAACGGCCTGTTTTCCAGTAGCCACTGATGTAAAGCATCAGCAATGGGTTTTGCCTTAGCTTGTCTAATTTGCCATACGGTTTGAGCATTTCTGGGTGAAGGTAGCGCATTTTTCTCAAATAGCTCATCAATTTCACGCTCTATGGCATACAAGCGTTGAAAGAAGTTTAATGCCTCTTCACTGACAATACTTTGCCCTGTCACATGCAGCTCATGAAACTTACGCCGTGCATGCGCCATACAACCGACTTCAATCACACCTTGCTGTCTTGATGGACTAAATAGAAACTTATAGCCGTTGTAATCATCGCAAATGAGCTTACCCTGCCACTTAGATAAAAAGGCTTTGGGATGCTCATTTCGTCTGCTTTCGGCAAAGTCATAAACCACTGCTTTAAGTTTACTGTGCTGTGGCGTTACATACGCCCACACATAGCCTTGCTTGGGTGATTTACCATTCACCTTCATAATCGTCACAGGGGTTTCATCCGCATGTAGAATTGGCTGTGATAACAGGATGTCATGTAAACGCATGACTAATGGCTCAAGTGCTACACCACAGCGTCCCACCCAATCTGCCATGGTGGAATCCGATAGATAAACCCCACTTCGCTGATAGATAAGGTTTTGTCGATATAGTGGCTGATGGTCAGCATACTTGCTAATCAAGATATGCGCCAGTAACTCAGGGGTGGCGATGCTTTTATCAATGATTTGAGCGGGCGTCGATGCTTGTACCAGAGTTTGATTGTGGGATTGGCAATCCTTGCAGGTGTATTTGGGATAAATATGGCGTTCACGGTAAAACTGTTTGGGAATAAAGCCTAGTTTGTCCTGTATGTCTTCCCCAATTTGCTGCATTTGACAGCCACAATCGCAAGTGATTGATTTAGGCTTGTGAATGACAGTTCTGACTTCTAGGTTGTCAGGGATAACTATCCGCCGCCCGCGTTTGATTTTAGCTTTAGGCGTATCAGTTTGATTGCTATCGTTCTCTGCTTGGCTCTGCGTGGCTAACGTTTTAGCGTCAGGGGTTTCATCAGTCTGTAATTGGGTAGATTGGCCTTGGCTTAGGTCATGTTGAATGTTGTTTTGGGTTTGTTCTAGGGCAGATAGGTCTTCTAGGGCAGTTTCTTGGTTGAGACGTGCTTGCTTTGGGGTTAAGCCTTCACTCTTTTGCCCAAATAAGTGATGAATCAGCAGCTTTTGTTTTTCGATGAGTTGGGCAATTTGGATTTGGAGCTGACGCAGTTGTTGTTCGTATCGTTGTCGCTCTTGTTGACGCACTTGCTGACGTATCTCTTCGCTTTGTTGCTCAAGCAGGGCAATTTTAGCCAGTGCTTGCGCTAGTTGGTAGGCTAAGTCGGGTGAATGGGCATCAGTCATGGCAGTATGTTGCCATAGTTTGGGTAGGCTGTCACCTGTTGTTTATATTAGGGGTGTGAGTAGGTCTTTGCCCAGATTGTGCCAAGGTAGTCCATTAATGAGAGCGTTGAATTGTTCTTGGTTGATAGTCAGTCCTGTTTGAGCAGATGCTAAGTTAAGCTGTTTACCAAGTCCGTGAAATTTGCTGTCATCAAGCTGACGGGTACATAGCCAAACTCCCAGTCCGTCATGTACTAGCACTTTTAGCCGTGTGCCTGTTTTGTTGTAAAACAGGTAGGCACAGTGCGGCTTGATGCCTTGGTGGTGTTTGATGATGTGGGCAATGAGTTTGTTGCTGCCACTTCGCATGTCCATGGCTGTAGTCGATAGCCAGATTTGGGTGATTTGTATCATTGTAAGCCCCGCAGTAGTTCAATAAGACTACGGGTGTCGATTTGTTCGATGCTAAGTCTAATCGGTGAGGTGTCTCGTGTGGGTATTTGGAGCTGAACGCTTTGAATGGTGGCTATTGCTAGTGATGCTGAGTTGAAGCTCTGCTGTGAGTCTAACGTAATGGGAATAAAATTTGACGGAGTGCTAGGCTCGTGAGTAATAGCAGGTAAGGTATTCTCGGGTGCTTGTATTATCTTGGCTCGATTTTGCCGTTTCCAGTTATGCAATAGGTTTTGGTTGATGCCATTGTCTCTGGCTATACTCGCTATCGACCGCCCTGAGCTTATTGCTTCTTGCACAAGAAATTCTTTGAATTCGTCGCTGTAGTTCTTACGTTTGGGTTTTTTTAGTGTGTCTTGTATCATCTTCGTGTCCACGATTGTTTAATCATGGACACTATCTCTAATTTCTTATGTGTGGAAAAGATGGGATGGTCGGATGCTTACCATTAAAATAGTTTAAGTCTTAAAATATTCAAAAATGCGATAAACCTATTTAAATAGTGCGATAAACCTATTTAAATACCAAGCAAACACTTTAAACTGCCGCCCCACGCTCATGGTCTGTAAGCTATCAATCACCAATGAATGCGCATCATGGATAAAGTCACTGGACACCAACGGCTCAT